TCTTCCTTGTCCAGACCAAGATTCAGGAAACAAGTTATCCCTTGTATTTTTCTTCCCAGATCAACTTTTACTGGCAAATTCACTGAAGGTAAAGTACCACTAAACAGTTACCATTTTGACTCTAATTAAGGCGGTGGTCATCTCTCCCAGATCATTAATTAGCCCCTCCAAATTCCTGATGCTTGATAAGTTGTTTCATTAAGATAACAGGCAGGCCCCAATTATTCTGAATTGGTGCAGGGGGCAGACTCCAGTGAAACTACACCAGTCCCTGCACTAAGTCTGGGTCAGGAAGTATAGCTTATCTTCAAATTATCCCACATTTTACAATTTTAGAAAGAAAGATAGGTGCATGATGATAACCAGTACTTAGTACAATGCAAGTATATTGTAGCAAAAAAAAAAAAAAAAAAAAAAAAAAAAAAAAAAAAAATGGAGAGATTCATCTTAAAGACAACAGGCTACAACTCTTCTGCTCCGCAGACCCTGGAGGGCTGAGTTTAGGAGAGATGGCTGGGTAAAGAATGGTAAGGTGTTTCGAGTCTGCTTACTTTTCTCCTCGACGTCCTTCCTTTCGTTACCACTTTCAGAGCAGCACTAGAAGAACAGGTGTAACAAACACATTAAGACTGGAGTGATAGGTGGAACTCCTCAGGATTCCCAGAGGGCGCGAGGTCCCAGACTCCCTCCCCTGGGGTCTTCCTGAGGGGTCAGGGCCATCTGACGCAGGTGGCCCTGAGGACCACCACTGCCACCTCCCCAGAACCGCTGGAGTTACCTTGCCCAGCCTCAGGGTATGTCTCTACGTCCCTAGAGACAACTATCTGTGTCATCTCATCAGGGTCGCCAGAGCCACCGCCCTGGGACCACCTTCTCTGGGAGGTCCGTGCCACCTCGCCAGATTGGAAGGCCTGTCTCCCCGGGCCACGGAAACCACGTCCCCAGGCCGCCAGGGCCACCTCACCGACGCAATCTCCTTTGGCAGATCTGTGCCACCTCCCCGGGCTATCAGCGTCCCCTCCCCGGGCCACCAGGGCCGCCTCACCGGGGCTGCCGGCGCCTTGCCGATCTCGGCGGCCGGGAGCATCCCGTCTCCGCGCGAGTCCTCGGCTCCATGGGCAGCCAGCGTGGCTTGTAGAGTTCCGCTGAGGCCAGCGGCCAGACACCGGCTCTCCCTGGGAGACCGTGGGGCTGGGCGCCACCTCTACTTCCCCTCGCCGTCTCTCTGATTTCTTCCTCTCCTCCCAGAGAGGCCCTGCCCGCGCAGCCTGGGCCAGCCATGCGCGGTGGCGCCCTCTGCTGGCAGGGGGCCAGCACGGCCGTTCAGGAAGCGGGCGCCAGCCCCCCAGGCTCTCGGGAGAAAGGGGGGCGGGCCTTCTCAACCTCCGCCACACCTCCACCTCGCGGGGGTCCTTGCGGATGGAGCTTGAAGGTACCCCACCCTCTACACCATAAGTTCCTTGTGAACTTGTGTAAATTCCTTGTGTTCAGCTTATCCTTTAGATGAGACCCCAGATGTTCTCAGAGTGTGAGGGGGCTTGTTGGCTAACTTTAATGTAATTTGGTCGGCCTGTTTAGTTGGGGGAAATTCCAATGTCATTATCTTGGGATCTTTCTTTTAAGGCTGATCAGACCCAGCTAGAGATGACCCTCCACTTTCCTGCCTGTAGGGTGCAGATCTGGTTGTAAACGACTGGGAGCTGAATGGCAGAAGAGGACTCAGCATCAAATATGCACTTTACCCCGTGCAGAGGCCCCAAAAACGTGGCCTTTGACAAGAAGGAGGAACATGAGGGATCTGGAAGCAAGAGGTAGGTAGAGGACCCAGGGATTCGACTTCAAAAACAAACATGGGAGGTGGTATCAAAAGACTAAAACAAAGGAGGGTGGGAGGGAACAACCCATAGAGGAAACAGAAACCATTTAGTGAGAAGAAAATTTTAAAATATATATATCCTGTATACATTGTCTATATACATTGTACATGGAATACATATAATCAATATCTTGAGATGTGAGGTACCACTGCAACCATAAAACAATAAATAACAGGATACTATTTTTAAGAGTATTTAGAGGGGCGCCTGGGTGGCTTAGCCAGTTGAGTGTTGGACTTGATCTCGGCACAGGTCATGAGCTCACCATTCATGAGTTTGAGCCCCGGCTGGGGCTCAGCACAGAGACTACTTGGGACTATCCCCTTCTCTCTCTGCCCCTCACCTGCTCACTTGCTCTCGTTCTCTCTCTCTCAAAAGAAATAAACATTAAAATAAATAA